CATCACCTGATTCTGGTGTCTCGCAAGCCTATTGTGAAGCTGCCCGGAGTATAGTTAAAAAACTAGAGGAACTGGCCAAGGGAACAACCTTCCAACCGGAGATTAATCTGTGAAATCGTTCTGATTCTAGGAGTCCCCATTTCCCGGTGATCTGGAGTCCTGAAGTGACCAAGTATACCCCCGGTGATCTGGAGTCCTGAAGTCTGTAACTGTAGCCTTCTGATGTAACCATTTTCTTTCTGCATACTGAGGGTACATATTCGACTTGGATGTTCTTTTGTTGTTAGTCGGAATGCTTCTTAATCATCGCTTCTGAGTTGTGTGTCCTAAACCATTGAGAATGCAAGGAATTCGATCCCAAATCCCATATTAATCTATAGAGGTCCAAAGTTGTTGTAAGTTGTAACGATCTGAGTATACTAGATCAGTGGTGTTATGTCACATACTATTATCAACTTTATGTACATATAGGTTCAATTTCTTCATTATTAAAAAAAAAAAAAATTCAAGAAGAATTTTTTGGAAGGTGGAGATTCAAATATTAACGGTAGTCTTAAAGAACATGGTATTCGAACTTGTACAATCTTCAATCTCCCATGAATTGACTTTCGTTTGAGAGGACGTGTAGTGGATAAGTACCATACATGAACATTTCCTAACAACTCGAGTTATTGTGATCAAATAATTTTTCAGATTGTATTTGAGCTTTCTGTAATCGGTAGGTATTCTGTTTGAATCTTAATGACCTCCTCAGTTAAGCACATGGTATTTGGACGTGTGTAAGCTTCAAGTCCATATATGGTGGCTTTTGCCCAAATCCAAGTAGACCCATTCATTATGGGTAGGGTATGGCGAGGTGTATATGGGTTTGAGTTAGGTATAGATATTGCTTTCATAATCTAAATGGGTATGGATTAGATATGGATATCCATTTACTTGAGGGTATTTTAACTACACATACAAAAATTGGATCTATTTGTAAAACTTGAAAAGTTTAGGCACCAAAATGTAAGGCCAAAAAAATTTAGGTACTAAAATATAATTTTTCATCGATATTTTGAGAACTTGTATGCAAAAAATTAAATTTAGGTACTAAATATGTGTATCTATTAAGTTTAGGTACAAAATTGTAATTTGTATTTGGGCATGGGCACAAACCCAAATTCATTTGTTAAAAATTCAAATCACCCCAAGTAAATGGGTATGGGTACAAACCCATCTAACTCTACCCATCAACCATCTATTTGGATTTCATACCCAACCCAATTGTGTTAGATAGTAAAATACTCATGGGTATAGGTAAAATTGTCATCCCTAATCATAACTATTTTGGCCAAGAAGTGGTGTGTTGAATTTTTTTTTGGTCATTAGATCACTCTGAAAAAAGGGAAATACAAAGATCTGTAGGCATATAGTAGAACTTGCCTAGTCCGAACCAAACAACAAAGTCGAACCTCGATAACATTTGAGGCGACAAAAACAGAGCATGAGAAGCCACCAAATGAGCCGCTTTGTAACTTATAGGGTAAAATACCTCGGGTGCCACTTAAGTTTGAGAAATGGGGTTGACATACCACTTAAATTTGAATAGGGCGTTGGGTACCACTAAACTCTATTATATGTGCACCCGGTACCACTTAAGTTTAATGCTAAGTGCATTTCGTTAAAGTTGACAGAATATTCTTGGAATATTTCGTTTTCTTAATTTCATAATTGGTCCTTCTACTTTTTTTATTGTAAAAAAAGTCATTTGGACTTATGAAAAACATCATTTTTTATTGTTTAGTTAGAATCCTCTATTGAATACTTAATACCAAACCAATTTTTGAATAGAAAATTTAGAATAAATTATCATTATAATTATTTTCAATTATCATTATGTGTTCTAATAATTTAATTATTCCATGAATGTTGTAAATAAACAATGTTGTAACTTTTATAGTCGTATTTTCTTTTCTACATTTTTGACCGAATGTAGTAGCTTTTATATTTTATTTCTTGTTTTGTTACTTTCCATCTCTTTTTGTTCTAATTTTTTTAAATTAGTGGAATATGTTTAATTCTTTCTGGATTGTGTTCCATTTATCCTTCTTTGATTTTGATATATTGATGATCGATTAGGTTCTATTCAATGTAGTCAAAATCACGTTTTAAAGTTTAAAAACTTACGATTTTACGTTTTCAGATCACTAAAACGCTTCTACGCAAAATCTCAGTTCTTATAACTTATTTAGTTAAAAACTCGGTTTAAAACTTAAACACTTACGATTTTACGCTTCTAGATCACCAAAACGTTTCTACGTAGAAACTCGCTTTTGACTACATTTGTTCTATTTTAACTATTTCTAATGGTGCTTCTAATTGGACGAAAAAGTAGACGGATGCACATTTTGACAACTTTAATGGTACCCGACACCCTATTTAAATTTAAATAGTATGTCTTCTCCAATTCTCAAACTTAAGTAGTACCCGAAGTATTTTACGCGTAACTTATACTACCAACAACCCAAGGAATACTTCCTTTCACGAAACCCAGGAAAGTACAAATCAAGCTCTAGCATCCCGAACATCCCAACCCATGCAATTATCGATTAGAACTTTGAGTTGAAACGATCCACAAACCACCATGACGACAATCCCAGTGATTCCATAACCCTACAATAAAATATAGGAATGATAATGGGCAGGTCCGGGGCGGGTTTCTTGGTACCCAGACCATCCCCGTGGCAGGTCTGGTACAGGTCGGGTAATTTATCACGGGTCATAGGTCAGGGCAGGTCGACCCAATAGGTATGCAATTTATATGAAAAACATTAGAAATATTTCTTATTTTTATTATAAGACCAAGAAAACAAACAATATTATGATAAATGTAGTTAATTATTAGAGAAATTGAGGTTTTCACCAATTTACAATTTTATTATAGCTAAATTATGATGTAATAAAAGAAAAATCCTAAGTAATTTGACTAAGATTACATGTAATTTAGGCAAGAACGGGTTGAGAATGGGGCGGGTCAGGGCAGGTCGGGTCGATGAGAGTACCCCATGCCCGCCCTGCCCCAAAACAGGCCAAACAGGTCGGGTAAAACGGGTCAGGTCGAAACCGAACCGATCGAATGCCCACACCTAATACAAACTCACTCGAAAATGCATTCTCAGCCTCCTGAATGACGATTGGAGCATTAGTGCCCCAAAGAGCAGTCACCACCCGATCCATAACCGCATGAGACAAAGGAGGAAGCGAAAATAGATACCCCACAACTCCACCAAACAGATCTCCTCCTGCAGGGTAGGGGTGAAACTGGGCCAAACCCAGCCCTAACCCTGTCACTACCCAAAAAAACCCAACTCTATATGCTCAAATATTTGGCCCGACCCGGTCCGACCCTAATCTCATTTGGTCCTGTATGGCCCTGTTGGGTCGGGCTGGGTTGGGTCGGGTCGGGCCATAGGGTCGGCCCAACTTCTTTTTATACAATATTAGTCCACTTAATATTAGTTACATGTTGGTGGAATCCATTATTGTAACCCGAGATTCTCAACCCGAAATTACCTAACTCGACTCGATTGTCAGATCTAATCCGAAAATACAGGGCATCATATAACCGGAATCTAAAAAAACTATTAGCATATGCATGTAATCTCACAGACAAATTAGCATTCAAATGTAATTGCACAATCCAATGAGCAAAAAACTTGCACCTCTCAACTCCATATTATAAACAGGAAACCAAGCATCATAAAGAATGAAATGATTAGCTATCAACTCTGGGGGTTCAATTCTACGAAGAGAAAAGTTGAGAGCTAATATGAGAGTAGAAAGTGGAGACAACTGGGATCAGTACCCACAGTCTTATCAAACTAAACAACTTGTCCTACCCATTCAATTCGGTTCAAATGGTAAAATATACCACAATCTGCACAAACAAAGAATAATAAAATAAGCAAAAATACAATGTTGCCCTCTATCTTCTTCTTCTTCTTCCCAGCAATCAAACAAAAAAATCCCCAAGTACTGGATGGAAGAGACGCCGACTCCATCTTGCTCCCCTGCTCTGCAATTGGATGGGTCAATTTTTCTACACCATCAACCACACCCGTAAACCAATTGCAGGAACCAATCCAATCTCATGAATCCCATCCCCAAACCCCATCCGCCATAGCCCAATAATCGAACCTCATCCCCAATATCGACGTCCAATCTTCCACCATATGGGCCGAATCTCCAGAACCCAGAAGAAGGTGATGACAATTTTCGAGGGAAGGTTGAGCGAGCCGGCCAGTCTTCCTCTCTGATTTTCGTTCCCACTCGCCTCTTGACCGGAATCCATCTGTTCTCTGATTTTCAACAAACAACTTCTTTTTATACGAGGAAGGGAAGCTGCTGCGGCGGGGGGCAGGGGAGGGCGGCGGCGAAGGGCGAACCCGAGTGCTGGATCGGCGCAGAGGAATAGGATGAAGGAGATGCGGCGGCAGGTGCTGGGTCAATGATGGAGATGATAGCGGAAAGAAGAGATGGAGCCGAAATGGGTTGGGTAATTAGGGACTTAGGGTTAAAATGGGTCAAAATGGGTCTGAATGGGTTTTAAGGGTAAAACCCAAAAATACCCTACCCTCCAGGGTCAGAATATGACCCGACCCTATTTTGGCCCTAAAGACTAATTGACCCTACCCAGCCCACAGGGTTGGGCCGGGCCGGGCTGATGGGTAGTAAGGTTCACAGTTACAGCCCTACTGCAGGGGTCCAAAAACATATGAGGAAAAAAGCGTAGAAACGAACAAAACCAGCAACAGATCGCAATCAGCAAAACAAACAGGATTCACAATCATAGGATCGCCGCAACATAACCCAAAGAACGAATGACCACAAAATTCACGAATACTACGAGTCACACAAACTAATAAAATAGACGGATTATAAACACAAACAAGCCCGTATAAAGATTTAACCGTCAAGGCCGGACCTAAACCTCGACAGTTCCAAACCATTAGACTTAATCTGGAGCATGCGGCCATGCACTGGTGGCAACTCGGATCCTCCATCCCATCATCCTCCAGTTGCTGTCTCTTTGCTGGTGGTTCGATCTCCTCAATCAACATCTGATAGAAGGAACCAAAGATGAGTCAATGGACAACTTCAATCCAGGATCCTGCGCAGGGGACTCCCGCGGCTTCCTAGGTAAAACTGATTGTGACCTAAATCGTGATACCCACCTAGCGCCGAGGAAACGGCGGCGAGACCATTGAATTATTGGGGTAATTAGCATAAAAGGTCACAAACCTATTCACTTTGTACAAAATGGTCACAAAATTTTCATTTTGTACGTTTCAGTAACACACGTTTGAGAGGATAACGAAATGGTCATTCCGTCCATCTCCATCCAAAACACCGTTAGTTTCGTCCAGTCTTCACGCCACATCACTTAAAATATTAATTAAAAAACTAATGACCAAACCCTATTGAATCACATTCCAAATTCTATACCCACCCACCCGAAAAACCTAATTCAATCAATAAAAAAATTAATGTCACCCACCCAAAATTCCAGACAGCCGCTTTCCTCTTCCATCTCGGCTCTGCAGAGCGCGTATTAGCTCCCCCCAGAATCGCCGACAAAAAACAAAGCTTCGGCCGCCGATTGCTTCCCCTAGGTAGTCGCGGCACCTCCCTAAACCAAACCCCTGTCAAGAACCAGTTGATCCCAATAACTCGAGCTGTTGGGAGTGGTTCAATTCTGGATCATATACCAGTTACTAACACCCCCCTTCAAACTCAAGTCATTCATATAGGCTTGAAGTTTGGACAGGCATAGGTCCGGACACCGTGTGCTTAACAGAAACAGATGGGGGTCACCGGGAATCGAAAAGAAGACCTTTCGGTCACAGAAGGCTCTGATACCATGTCAAGAACCAGTTGATCCCAATAACTCGAGCTGTTGGGAGAGGTTCAATTCTGGATCATATACCAGTTACTAACAACCCCTCACTGTCGTTCGCTTCCCTTATTCGCGTTGCTGACCTAGAACAAAGCGCCACCGTCGATCCCTCTCTTGTTCGCGTTGCCGGCGTGAACCGAAGCCCCCACCATCGATCACTCCCCTGCTTGCGTCGCCAGCGTGAAACGAAGCCCTACCTCACCTTCCATGGCTGCCAGCGCAAAAGATACGACACTTGTAATAGATTTGATGATCCACTGGGAAATCCCACCGCCGCAGCTCCGATCCCAAACGTGCGTGAGACTGAGAGCAATCTCACTCGTTCGCCTTTTGTTAAGGGAATTGTCCGTTTTCTGGAGCTCGGTGATGTGAGTAATCGATTCTGCCTTGTCCAGATCTGAAAACGACTTGCTTTCCCAGATCAAGATTCCTCCTTCCATGGCTTCCTACTTAGGGCTGCAAATGAGCCGAGTCGAGTTTTACCCCAGCTTGAGCTCGGCTCGTTTATAAACGAGTCGAGCTCGAGCTAGCTTGTTTATTAAAATTTTAACTTTTATCTGGTACTTCATTTTGTATATCATGATACATATGATTTATTTTGTTAGTTAATCTCATTTTATACTTTATACTTTGTTGGTATCATATATCGTTTGGTTTATAAATTTTTAACTACTCCAAATCATGTTATTTCATTGTATCGAAGCAATCTATGATGCATAATTTCTTTTTAAAGTAGAAAATAAGATATATTTGCTCATATACTCAACGTGCAAAACTTTATATATGGTGAGATACATAAATTAACAACCATATGAATTAAAATCATAAGATATAGATTGATTCGTCCATAAGTTGGTAATCGAGTTGGCTCTCTAGCCACATGTTAAGACATATCATGAGCTCTAAAAGAGCCAGCTCACGAGTTTAGCTCAACAAGCCACCGAGTCGAGCTAGCTTGCGAGCTTCACGAACTGAACAAAGGTGAGCTCGTGTTCGGCTCGTTTATTAACGAGCCGAGTTTCGAACGAGCTTTTCTCGAGTCGAACGCCGAGCCGCTCGCGAGCAGCTCGACTCATTTGCAGCCCTACTGATCGGAATGCAGAGGGAGGGTTTGTTCCAAAATCCAAAGCACCCATACTCTCGGTTAGGGCTGGAAGTTTGATACCGGTATTTGGGATAACCGAATACCGTACCGAATTTGTCTATATTTGGTATTACCAAATACACGTATTATTTCGTGGGATTGAATTTCAATTGTTATTCGGTATTAGGGATTACGGGATTGGGATCGGTATATATCGAAATACCGATCAATACAGAAATATAAGCTAGTGTGTATTTTATCCTCTCAACTAGACTCTCTCATTCACTACTACACGATCCTCAACCACCAAAAGTGTCATTTAATTATACATAAATTATTACATCACTATTTCACACTACTATTAGTCGTCTCTCAACCTCAAATTCGTCAAATTAAAGATTACCAATTACAAGAACTTGAGATGTTAGCTCTAGACAACTGAAGACTATTTGCTTAATCTCTTTGCCCTACATTAAACAATAAAATCTAATTTATATATTTAATTATTAATTGTAAAGGTAATTAATTATGTATTCGATAATACCGATTGAGATACCGAAATTATTTAGGGATTGGGATTGAGATTGATTTTAGGGTGTAATTCGGTATTCGGAATTTCGGTATTTGATATTGGGATACCGATACCGTACCGATTTCCACCCCTACTCTCGGTCACTACTTCAATTAGGTTTATTGGGTGGGTATAAAATTAGGATTGTCCGGTTTAATTGAGTTTGATTTTTAAATTTTAATTAATATTTTAAGTGACGTGGTGTGATGACTGGACGAAACTAATAGAGATGGATGAAATGACCATTTTGTTATTCTCTCAAATGTATATTACTAAAACGTGCAAAATGAAAAATTTGTGACCGTATTGTACAAAGTAAATAGGTTTGTTATCTTTTATGATATTTACCATGAATTATTGATCACAATTATTGAATTTGCCCAACGGTCCAATCCAATTATTGGTCAAAACGACCCAATTCATGCCAACGGCCAACAGCCCACCACAACTCGGAACTCCGAAATCCTTCCTCAAAAGTCAAAAGTCACTTACTCGCTCACTCTTCCTCCACCGTTTCCCCTGGCCGGCCGTGGAAAGTAAACAACCACCACCATACCTTCCGTCTTCCACCGCCGTAGAACACGTGTCTTCCTCTCTCAGCTGTAGCGGTGTCACACAATATCAGTGTTTCTTTTCTTGAGCTACCTAGTATCTATCAGTCGATTCCCCTTCTATCGAGTATTCACCTACCGTTTCTTAACATTTCCATCTCGCCTTCCATTATATTCTGAATTGGTATTAAGCTGATAGCCGATATTCAATCGCTGAGGTTCTTCTTCAGTTATCAATCTAGTGCATGATGCATCGTTAAGTTTGCCCTGATTTATGGCTAATTGAATCGGTTCTTTTGGCTAATTTTGCAGTTTCAGCTGTGCCAGGGATGTCTAGGTTTCGATCACTCTGGAAAGCTTCTTTGAACGCCACCAAGAAAGGTAGTTTCTTTTCTCTGGGTTTCTCTAGTGGTCTTCTCTCTGGGTTTCTCTAGTGGTTGGTCTATTTTGCTTGACTGTCATTTTGCTAGATCTTAGACTTAGATATTGCATTGCTGGTTGGTTTTGCTAGATAAATTTTTGTGTGCAGCTGTAGTATATGGAATGTGTGCTTATCCTTTCTTTCGGCTGTTTCCTTGTGTATTCCTAGTGAAATTCATACTGTCTACCGAATGCATATGTTAATGTCACACGTGAATTCATAGTATCTTAAACAATGGCAGTTGACCTGAAAGCTATCTACTTGAACTACAATCTGCTTTGTCGTCAATAGCATAAGGTAGTCCCATTGTGCAGAAGTGATGAGGTAAGGTAATTGTTGAAGCAGTTGTAAAGGAACCACTTATTAGGACGTTGTAGTACCGATTGCATCGTGCCTGTATTGCAGTAAATACTGTTACTAATGGATCAAGTAGAGATATTTCATCTTTAGATCAAGGAATCAAACACATCAAACAAGCTCATCCAGTGAAACGGTTTCATTGCATCACCTTTACTTTAGGATTTCTGGGATGAAACAAGACATTAGCATACAGGGTGGTTTTCTTATTTACTTGAGTATTTCCCCCCTACAGCTCTTACATGGAACCTTGAAGACTTGATGCCTCCTTCCGAGAGACTTATTTTCAGCTTCAACTCGAAGGAAGAACTAAAGAAATGGCATCTATATTCAGATTCAGAGTATGGAGGTACAGTATCTTGCCAACTTCAATGCTTCATGCTGTGCCCTCCTCTCTCTTTAAGCAAGGGAATTTTTGTATGTTTGGTCTTGAAGCTGTCATGGCCCAGGCAAACTCTTCAAAGGGTTGAGAATTCATTGGAATTGTCAAATGTCAAGATTAGGGTATCAAATTACTCCTCTAAGAATTTCTAAACATTTTCAGGTCTCTCCTCAGCTTCGTTGGAGATTAGTGAAGTAGACAATGGGTTGAAAGGTACTGCTCTTTAATCCCATTTACTTGGTACAACTCTTTCTGATATATCATCTTGTCATGTTACGTTTGTGCTTCTTATCTGTTAATCATACTCATCTGTTACCAATAGGTGTCTTCTCTGGGAATCTATCAGTAGATCTAGCTGAGGATTCTAAGTGGAACATAAGTAGGGGTGGATTTTGTGGAATGCGTTCCAAGAAGGTGAAAACATCTTTTGATTATTTGAACTTATGTAAATGAAATAACTAGAACCAAGTGCTGAACATGAATCATATCCTGTGAGATCATAGACGTTCGACTAATTAAATAATATTTGGAATTCTTTCCGCAGTTTGATGGTTTCATTGATCTCGATTCATATGATACGATTGCACTCAAGCTTAGAGGTGATGGAAGAAGCTATATATCAACTGTGAGATTTGTTTCCCCTTCTCTCTTAGTCCGATACTAGAAAGAGCCAAATGTTTTCGATGCTGTAATGTTCAAATCTTCCCACTTGGTACTATAAACTTAAATAGAAACTTTGATACAGATTTATACAGAGAATTGGGTTAATTCACCTGGGCAGCTAGAAGATAATTCCTGGCAAGCTTTTGTTCATGTTCCAAAAGACAACTGGTACATTGCAAAGGCAAGTTGTTTCCTCATGCTCTCATCTCATATACTATACGCATTGTTCTCAAACGCCACTTACAAAATACTCATCGAATTGCAATTTTGGCATTCAGATTCCACTTGCTCGATATCTACCGACTTGGAGAGGGAATGTTATCAACGCAGAGATGGAGATGAATCAAGCCCGTATTCTTGGCATGTCGCTCTCTGTCAATGCAGAAGGTGGTGTCCCTGGTGCCAGAACTGGCACCGGTGATTTCAGAGTTGAGCTCGACTGGATCAAAGCCATTCGAACAGGGGAATACACGTGATGTATCCGTCCCCACATAATGTAAACGGTTTCCTCCTCAACAAATCCAGGTTTGAAGCACCTTGCAGTAAACTGCACCTGTTCAGTGGCATGCCATAATGTAACTCCCCAAGTTGCAGATTGCAAACCCTCAGCCCAGTTGTAGGAACTGAGTTGTCTAAACAGACTTGGAAGTGGGGTGAGAGAGACTTCAAACAGAGACTTACAGCAGTAGCCCATGAAGGTCATTCCTTCTGGTGGTGCTGCCATGCTTCCTAGTTTAGGAGACAAGCACGGTAAGGCATGTCCTGTTGTAGTTTTTGCTAAATGAGGTGTATTTAGGATGAATCGCTATTTGCCGTCCGTAGTTTTATTATTTGCCGCCCGTAGTTACAAAAATATTACGATTTTACCCCTGCCTCATTTTAAAAACCCTAAACCTATCTACCCCAACCCAACCCTTCACCTCCCACCCCTTCTGCTGCCCACCCCTCCCTCTGCCAACGTCGGCAACCGCCGCCCAGAAGCTGCCTCCGCCGCTTTTCAAGAGGTCAAGCTCCCGTAGCCGCTGCTCCCGTCCCAGACCCAAGCTTTCGTCGCCGTTGCTCTTCCAGTCGTCGCCGCTGTGTCCAGGTAATTTATTTTTCTTCGTCCCTTAGTCGCCGTCCGCCTCGTCCGAGCGGACACGGTCCGCCTAGCATGGTCGGACCGTGTTCGCTGGGCCTGGTCGAGCCTGGTCAGACCTGTCTGATTGGGTTTGACTGGTTCGATTTGATTAAATATTTATTAGAGGTATTTTAAATTCAGTTAGTATCTTAATTATTTTAATATTGATAGTTGAATAATTAGTATATAATTGTTGATTGTATAATTAGTATATAATTGTCAGTTGAATAATTAGTATATAATTGTTAGTTAAGTAACTATCTAGTTAAAAAAATTATTTAAATAACTCTATCGTATTTAGTTAAGTAACTATCTAGTTAAATTAATTAGATAATAAGTTGTATGTATCATAATTAGTCATTGATAAATTATGATTATGACCAAATTGCTCATCAAATAATTTATTATAAGAGATTAATAGATAATTATTGACTATGCTAATAGATAATTTATTATAATAATTATTAAATAAAATAATTATCTATCATGTTTTAGTTAAGTAACTGAGTAAGTTGAAATAATTATTTAAATAACTACCTATCGTATTAAGTAAAATAACTATCTAGTTAAATTAATTAGATAACAAATTGTATGTATCATAATTAGTCTATGAAACAACAAATAATTGCTCAATAAATAATTTATTATAACAGATTAATAGAAAATTATTGACTATGTTCAGAGATGGCGTCATCTGGTGGTTCTGGATGAACACGAAAGAGATTGAAAAGATTCATTGGGCGTAACATTAGTATGAGTACGAGAAATAAGGACCCAAATGATGGAGATGAGACGGAGTCAGAGTCAGATTCAGATATGAGTCACAACCACAACCACATCAGCTAGTGACGCCGATGAGTTTGAGGGCAGACGGTTTTCCTCAATTTGATTTTCTGTTTTCTAGTATGACTGGTAGTGGACCTGGTTCCAGTCACAACTTTGGGGCGAGGGATCATCATACTTCACCGTTTGAGCCTTCAAACGAGATTGATGACGAGCCTGAGCAGTATGAGTCGGATGTTGTTGAGTATCGCATTCCACAAGTCAGTCCGATCAGAGATAGAGGTGCCGCCAGCGGATCGTCACATGTCGTTACTGGGGTTCATGTCGTTACTGGGATTTATAGAGACCATGCGGGGCGTTTCTACAAAGCTCCACAGTCTGGTGAGGGCCAGAGTGGTAATGCTAATGTGGGAGAGGCCTGGGAGCTTAGAGGACCGTGTGCTGGAGGGTCGAGCGACCCGAGTTTGCTCCGTAACTTTCTTGGGCATGTTGCCCATCGTCTTTACACCGTACAGGCTGATAGACGGGTGATCACTTGCTATGACAGGAGTTCGACGCTTCGGCACGTTCTAGACGGTTATGAGATTGCAGACAACCTTCATTACATTTTATTTATAAGAGATAGACGAGTACATCGGGCTCCCTCTCGATTACAAATTTATTTCTTTGGAACCCTCTTTGTTTTGCGCGATGGACCGCTTGATTGCCCACCCCCAAGATCGAACCACAGTTGACTAAACTGCGCGAAATATGTATCACATCCAAGCACGTTATCTTGTTTACCGCCTGACCACATGCCATGTACAGGGGGCATCGGTATCCTGTCCGCCGGGAAAGAGAGGTTGAACCAATGATCCTGGACGAAATGCACAACAATGGCTCCTCTAGGACTGGTTGCGATAGGTTGCCACTGGCAGAATGCTACAGTTGTATGTATTTGGTACTGGGTAGAGGATATTTCTGTACATGACAACAGCCAAATTAAAGAGTGTGACAAATACGAATAGATCCACACCCATCATCCAATGATGATTTGTCGTTGGTGCTGTACACCAATCGTGCTTACGAAATTCTTCAGCAATGAGTCATCTCACCTCTGGGAACCCATCTTGATTACCATATAATGCAAAACTAAGTGCATGAAACCCACAATGGCCGTCTGACACCGGGTCGTGGATGACAATGATAAGGTCCCAAACGAAGACGGGAAGTAGATGCATGTGTGCGTATTCAGAATGGGTGCTGGGTCCAGGGATATCTGTGAAGGAAATAGATAATTATCACAAATTCTACATAAACTATTCATATAAATAACTACACTTAATGAAATTCTTATGTGAGCCTGTATCAGGACCGTTGTATTTGTTGTTTTCTTCGGGGTCATCACACTCCTCAAATATATGGTCGTCTGACGGGTACTCGTCTGTCTGAGTCCCCATGGACTTGGTACTCGTTGACTTTGTAGACCCCGACGTTGTACTTCCCGACTTCTTTTTCATGTTTTTCTTCTCACCACGCAGTATCTTTTCCCACCACCCTTTAGTTCTTCCAGTTGATTTTTTGTTTGGTCGTCCCTTTCTAAATTCGTTCACTTCTGGCTCGTGAATGTTGTCTTCCGTTGGGTGGAGTTCGCGAAACACGTTCTTTGCCGCTTTTGTCGTTGCCTCTGGTCCTCTGCGTACGAGCTCATCAACCAACTTCTGAAGATGACATTTATCCTCATTCTCGTGGGGCACGTACTCCTGGGCATTGGGTGGATGCTCGTATGTCAGTGTCCGCCAATGTATATGAAGATCACCCGGGTATATCTCTATGTCTCGCGCTCTGCCATCCATAACTTGACATTCACACCTCAAGCCGTGTGTCACAGAGAAATGACATGGACATCGGGAGTTCTCAATTTTTTTCAAACGGGCCGCCAAATCTTCTTCAACCTCCTTCATTAATATAATTGCATGCATGCTGACCTTCCTTCTCAAGTATGTGAAGGGTGTACCACCGGATGCTGAAAGAGTTTTTTGTCGAGAGTTTTCTAACATCATCATAACCTCCCCGAATTGGTTAGTAATGTAGCAGTGGTTTCCTTTCCGTACAGTGTCCATAGATCCCCGCGAGTTGAGGAGGAAAGTTTCCAATGCGGAATGTGACGCCTCAACCATGTTTGTGCTCGTATTTCCTAGATGAAACACATTTTTTTTATGACAAACTGCCCACTTCTCTCGATATTGCCACCACACTCCCTGTATGTATTGCAATAGACGTGGTTCGTAATTGCTCCATCTTGCCAAACGCGGCCAACATATCTTGCTCGGACCAAGAATAAAGCATAGGCCACCAACCTTGATCGTAAGCATCGTTGACCAAATCCATCTTGTACTTCCCAAATATTTCCAAAAACTTACTGCACATTAGTGTTGATGTACCAAACACATAGCAAATGCGGGGTGCGGGGGAAGACCACAGAAAATGAAGCAAGTAGTCCACCTTCGTGGTTGGTGACGATGGCAGTGGGCACGCGTGGATGGAGCAATTGTTTTACGCACTCCAACAACCAATGATACGTCTCTTTTGTCTCCTTCATGAGAGCACAACATATGTTGAAATTCTTCCCAACAAGAGTAGCACCTACGACCTCCACCCACGACATTTTATACGAATTGGTCTTATACGTTGAGTCGATCAGAATCACGTACGGCCAAGCCTTCAACATCTGGAGGAAGTTGGATGAGCAAAACGCACTCCAACAACCAATGATACGCCTCTTTTGTCTCCTTCATGAGAGCACAACATATGTTGAAATTCTTCCCAACGGGAGTACCACCTACGAGAGGACCCACGACATTTTATACGAATTGGTTTTATACGTTGAGTCGATCAGAATCACGTACGGCCAAGCCTTCAACATTCCGGAGGAAGTTGGATGAGCAAAAAAAAGATGGGTAAGCACGTCGTTATCGTCCTTCATAACCTCTATATGATAATTCTCACGTTCATCTACTTGCAATGCATACTGCATTGCATTTATCTTGCTTATCTCGTCTTTCCTGGACTTGGACCCGAGGTTATACATTTGCCTTTTGGTGTGATGCCCTTTGTCACTCTTCTGCATGTTTCTTGTCTGCTTCTGTTGCGACGGAGGTACCCCAGCATCTTTCATCTGCTTCAGAGATTCTTTATCCTCCTAACTAAATTTTTTCATTTGACTGTGGCCCTCCGGATAAAGCATCTTCTCATGATTGTGATACTCTCGCCTTAGACCGGTTTCTTGCTCCCTCACTTCTTGTATCACCCAGAATGAAGGTCCATTAAGAGCATCTGGATCAACTAGTAGTTCTTTGATTTTAACCTTGAACATGCAATTAGACCCTTTTGAACTTGTATTGCCACGACTCTCCTTGGAAGGATCCGACTTGTATGACTTCCTCTCCCTACTGCATTTGTCGCAATACAAATAACACAGACCCAATACTCTTTTGTTGCACAACTCACGTGGCTTCATCGATCCCTTAATTAGAAAGAAACCAAGAGACATCGCGATGTTTTTGGTTTACAGCATCTTCGAAATTGTCTCTTGGAAGATGTTGTAACAGTGACCAAAAACATCGCGATGTCTCTTGATTCCTTTCTAATTAAGTGATCGATGAAGCCACGTGAGTTGCGCAACAAAAGAGTTTTGTGTCTGTGTTATTTGTATTGCGACAGATGCAGTAAGGAGAGTAAGGCATACAAGCCGGATCCTTTCAAAGAGAGTCGTGGCAATACAAGTTCAAAAGGGTCTAATTGCATGTTCAAGGTTAAAATCAAAGAACTACTGGTTGATCCAGATGCTCTTAATGGACCTTCATTCTGGGTGATACAAGAAGTGAGGGAGCAAGAAACCGGTCTAAGGCGAGAGTATCACAATCATGAGAAGATGCTTTATCCGGAGGGCCACAGTCAAATGAAGAAATTTAGTCCGGAGGATAAAGAATCTCTTAAGCATATGAGAGATGCTGGGGTACCTCCGTCGCAAGAGAAGCAGACAATAAACATGCAGAAGGGTGACAAAAGGCATCACACCAAAAGGAAAGACGAGATGGGCGAGATGAATGGATTGCAGTATGCGTTCCAAGCAGCTGAACGTGAGAATTATCATATAGAGGTTATGAAGGCGATAACGACTTGCTTACCCATCTTTTTTTTTGCCCATCCAACTTCCATCCAGATATTGAAGGCTTGGCCGTACGTGATTCTGATCGACTCAACGAATAAGACCAATGCATATAAAATGTCGTGGGTGGAGGTCGTAGGTGCTACTCCCGTTGGGAAGAAATTCAACATATGTTGTGCTCTCATGAAGGAGGAGACAAAAGAGGCGTATCATTGGTTGTTAGAGTGCGTAAAACAATTGCTCCATCCACGCGTGTCCACTGCCATCATCACCGACCGCAAAGGTGGAATACTTGCTACAGTTTCTGTGGTCTTCCCCCGCACCCCGCATTTGCTATGTGTTTGGCACATCAACACTAATGTGCAGAAGAAGTTTTTGGAAATATTTGGAAGGACATGATGGATGGATTTGGTCAACGAGGCTTACGATCAAGGTGACTTATGCTTTATTCTTGGTCCGAGCAAGGTATGTTGGCCGCGTTTGGCCGCTTTAGGGCAAGATGGAGCAATTACGAGTCACGTCTGTTGCAATACATACAGGGAGGTGCTGGCAACATCGAGAGAAGTTTGCAGTTTGCCATACCAAAAATGTGTTTCATCTAGGAAATACGAGCACAAACATGGTTGAGGCGTCACATTCCGCATTGAAAACTTTCCTCCACAACTCGCGGGGATCTATGGACAACTGTACGGAAAGGAAACCACTGCTACATTACTAAACCAATTCGGGGAGGTTATGATGATGTTGGAAAACTCTCGACAGAAAACCCTTTCAACATCCGGTGGTACACCCTTCACATACTTGAGAAGGAAGGTCAGCATGCATGCAATTATATTAATGAAGGAGGCTGAAGAAGATTTGGCGGCCCGTTTGGAAAAAATTGAGAACTCCCGATGTGCATGTCATTTCTCTGTGACACGGCTTGAGGTGTGGCTGTCAAGTTATGGATGGCAGAGCGCAAGACATAGAGATATACCCAGGTGATCTTCATATATATTAGCGGACACTGACATACAAGCATCCACCCAATGCCCAAGAGTACGTGCCCCACGAGGATGAAGCTAAATGTCATCTTCAGAAGTTGGTTGATGAGGTTGTACGCAGAGGACCAGAGGCAATGAAAAAAACAGCAGTGAACGTGTTTCGCGGACTCCACCCAATGGAAGACAACATTCACGAGCCAGAAGTGAACGAATTTAGAAAGGGATGACCAAACAAAAAATAAATTGGAAGAACTAAAGGGTGGTGGGAAAAGATACTGCGTGGTAAGAAGAAAAACATGAAAAAGAAGTCGGGAAACACAACGTCGGGGTCTACAAAGTCGACCAGTACCAAGTCCACGGGGACTCAGACAGACGAGTACCCGCCAGACGACCATGCATCTGAGGAGTGTGATGATCCCGAAGAAAACAACAAGTACAACGGTCCTGAGACAGGTACACATAAGACTTTCATAAGTGTAGTTATTTATATGAATAGTTTATGTAGAATTTGTGCTGATTATCTATCAGATGTCCCTGGATCCAACACCCATTCTGAATACGCACACATGCATCTGCTTCCTGTCTTCGTTCGGGACCTTAGCATTGTCATCCACGACCCGGTGCAAGATGGTCATTGTGGGTTTCGTGCACTTAGTTTTGCATTATATGGTAATCAAGATGGGTTCCCAGAGGTGACAATGAGGAGACTCATTGCTGAAGAATTCCGTGAGGCGATATGCTAACATGTACGGGTCAGATGTGAATGCAACAATCAAACGCATTGACATCGCTACTACAACCAACGATAAATCGTCATTGGATGATGGGTGTAGATCTATTCGTATTTTCCACACTCTTTAATTTGGTCGTTGTCATGTACAGCAATATCCTCTACCCAGTACCAAATACGTACAACTGTAGCATTCTGCCAGTGCAACCTATCTGGGGCAACCGGTCCTAGAGGAGTCATTGTTGTGCATTTCGTCCAGGATTCTTGGCTCAACCTCTCTTTCCCGGCGGACAGAATACCGATGCCTCCTGTACATGGCATGTGGCCAGACGGTAAACAAGACGGTAAACAAGATAGCGTGCTTGGATGGGATACATATTTCTGGGATACATATTTCGTGCAGTTTAGTCAACTGTGGTTCGATCTTGGGAGTGGGCGGTCCATAACGCAAAACATAGAGGGTTCCAAAGAAATAAATTTGTAATCGAGAGGGAGCTCGATGTACTCGTCTATCTCTTATAAATGTAATGAAGGTTGTCTGCGATCTCATAACCGTCTAGAACGTGCCGAAGCGTCGAATTTCTGTCGTAGCAAGTGATAGACGAGTGTCTATCAACCTGTCCGGTGTAAAGACGGTGACCAACATGCCCAAGAAAGCTACGGAGCAAACTCGGGTCGCTCGGCCCTCCAGCACACGGTCCTCTAAGCTCCCAGGCATCTCCCACATTAGCATTACCACTCTGGCCCTCACCAGGCTGTGGAGCTTTGTAGAAACACCCTGCACGGTCTCTATAAATCCCAGTAACGACATGAACCCCAGTAACGACATGTGACGATCCGCTGGCGGCACCTCTATCTCTGATCTGACTGACTCGTGGAATGCGATACTCAACAGCATCCGACTCATACTGCTCAGCCTCGTGAAGTATGATGATCCCTCGCACCAAAGTTGTGACTGGAACCAGGTCCACTACCAGTCATACTAGAAAACTGAAAATCAAACTGAGGAAAACCGTCTACCCTCAAACTCATCGGCGTCACTAGTTGATGTGGTTGTGGCTGTGGCTCACACTTTGAATCTGACTCTGACTCCGTCTCATCTCCATCATTTGGGTCCTTATTTCTCGTACTCATACTAATGTTACACCCAATGAATCTTTTCAATCTCTAAGCATAGTCAATAATTTTCTATTAATCTGTTATAATAAATTATTTATTGAGCAATTATTTGTTGTTTCATAGACTAATTATGATACATATAATTTGTTATCTAATTAATTTAACTATATAGTTATTTTGCTTAATACGATAGGTAGTTATTTAAATAATTATTTCAACTTACTTAATTACTTAACTAAAACATTATAGATAATTATTTAAAACTAACAATTATTTACAATTTATTATAATTATTTAATAATTATTATAATAAATTATCTATTAGCATAGTCAATAATTATCTATTAATCTCTTATAATAAATTATTTGATGAGCATAGTCATGACTAATTATGATAGATACAACTTATTATCTAATTAATTTAAATAATTTTTTTAACTTACCCAATTAATAAACTAACACATTATATAACTAACATGTTAAATAATTATTATTCAACTAACAATTATATACTAATCAACCAACAATTATATACTAATTATACAACCAAGAACTATATACAAATTATTCAACTATCAAGAATTATATACAAATGATTCAACTATCAATATTAAAATACATCTAATAAATATTTAATTAAACCGAACCAGTCAAACCCAATCAGACAGGTCCGACTAGGCCCGGCGGACTGCGACTAAGGGACGAAGAAAAAAAAATTACCTGGACACGGCGACGGGAGCTTGGATCTGGGACGGGAGCGGCGGCGACGGGAGTTTGGTTAATGGAACAGTGGCGGCTTCTGGGCTATGGTGGCCGACGTCGGCAGAGGGAGGGGTGGGCGGCGGGCTGTAGCATGAGTGGGCAGCAGAAGGGGTGGGTTGGGTAGATAGGTTTATAAAATGAGGCAGGGGCAAAATCGTCATATTTTTGTAACTACGGGCGGCAAATAGCGATTCATCGTAAACAAACCATGGTTAATGGTAAATGAACCAGAAGTCATGATGGTTGCTTAGGGCTTTACCCTACTTCTTTCTATGGTTAAGCCACTTCTTTTCCTAGTTCTACTAACTGATTATTATAGTTTATTGCATTAATTACCAACCGATGTGCTGTAAAAATCAACACTGCCAAAATTTCCACCGTGAAACTAGATCGTTAGGGGTTTATGATGATACTTTATAGCTTTAGTAACTATACAGATGATATTTGTTTGGAGAATTGAATATTCAGTGACGAAGGTGAAGATGGTAGCCTGGTAGGTCCTATCGGGAAGAGTGGCGCCCCGCCGTGGCCATCAAAACCCAAAAGGCCTCATCTGTAAGTCCTATGAAGAAGACAAAAATAGAAGCAACCGGTAGCTTGAAAAGATCACTATGAGTAGATGGACTTGGAAAGGACAAACAATGAATAGTGATGCCATCGTTTGGATGGATTAATTGTAAAACAATATAATTTGACCAATTGTTTCATTTTACAAAATGAGTCATTTAAAATGAGTCAATTCAGATTATCAGCCCCCACCCCAAACAATTGTAATTGGCTCAAAATGAGTCAATTAAGAATTCCCCAGCCCAAATTGCTTCATCCAAATTTTTTGCTGGCAAACGAGGCAATTTGGTACAATTGTCTCAAAACGAGACAATTGTGTCAGATTGATCCGTTACAATTCCTCATAATTGTCTCGTTTTGAGACAATTGTACCAAATTGCCTTATTTGCCAGCAAAAAATTTGGATGGATCAATCTGCCTGTGGTATTTTGAATTAATCCGTTTTGACTCAATTTCAATTACCTGGGGTGGGGGCATGTAATTCGAATTGACTCGTTTTAATTGCGTCGTTTATAAAACGAGACAATTGATCAAATTGACTCATTTCTATATTGATCCATCCAAACGACCTCCTTTTTTGGGTATAAATCGTTTCAAAATTCTGAGCTTTTCTACGTTACTCAAAAAGTTTACTTTCAATTCTAATTCATCCTACAAAGGTTTGGTATAGTGGTACGGTCACTTTGCCACTAGTTTTAAACCGGAAGGCTTTAGATTCAAACTTCTCAAGTAGCACTTTATACTGAAAACAAATCTATATCACCCTTACCTAAAAAAGTACTACCACTCGCTTCAAATCTAGAAATTTCAGGGTCAAAATTTTCAAGTAGCACCTTATAATGATAACAAACCTATATCCCTCTTATATAGAAAATATTGCAATTTCAATGCTTGTTTCTGGTTATCATATGAGTGAATGTCAAATATTATGGTGGATGTGTCAAATATTGTGGTGGATGTCGCTTATAAAGGGCTCAATTCACAGAAGACTACAAGTTTATAACATTGTTATGACGATTAGGATTGACCTCAACTTCAACCAGTTATCTTTTTGTCAACTAGTTTGTTTTTCTTTCGGTTGAAGTACTCTTTTTTAAGTGCATTAGAAATTTCATTTGGTGTATTTTTTTTTTCTTTTCAAGATTATGGGTTTACAAAACTAAAAAACTCAACAAATAAAGACACGATTTTGAAATTCTAACTTGGGTTAATCCACCTAATAATCTTTAGTAGAGTTGTCAAGGAATGTAGAGCAACAATCTATATCTATATATATATCTATCTATTTATCCATATTTATATCTATACTATATATTATGGCAATTAAAAAAAAAAGTCTTGTCACATAAGCACTTGGAGGATTCACAATTTGCCAAGTTGGACAACTTTTTTACAAATAAAAAATTAGTTATTAATGTATTTATGGAGTTACTTCTCTCTTCTTTAATATTTCCATTTCTTTTATCCAATTATTCTTTTTCATTTATCCAATTATTCTTTTTTGTCTTTAATAATAAGTTACATGTTGATAAACTTAACCAAACACACATAAATAGTAATTTTTGGTTAAATAAACAAAATATAAATAAGAAAACAGAGAGTGACATATATCACATTTGTTTAAATAAATAATAAACCATATGAAATAAATTTTTACTCATTTTTACTAAAATTCAAAGGTAAGTTACATTTTGACGAAAAAATAAACAACATACACATAAAAAATTATGTTTTAATCGATTAAACAAAAATATATATGAAAAGAGAGAAAATAAACATTTGACATTCAATTACCTTTGAAAAATAAATTATATTACTTTATATTTTGTTGCAATGAAACACTCTCTTATTCGTATAGTATATATCTATAAAATAAAACAGTATTATTTAGCAAAATGTCAGAGTATAATCTTGATCGAGTAGTTACAGTTATTTATTTTAAAAAAAAATCTTATTCATTCAGATCATGTTCTACCTTAAATTCTTCAAATGAAAAGGATCGCATGTGCAATAATTTGATAATGTGACATAAGTTCACATTAATAATATTTGCTCTATATCATGTTGATTGAGCAAGCTCTATTGAGGTTCTAAGTCGTATACTAAGAAATTTTCTTTCAGGCTTGGAGTTATCTTCGACGATTATAAATCAAAATTTTCAAAATGAACTAGGTATGATTGTTGACGAACTTTGACTTCATACCCTAGGATGAGACACAAGATTCCTTGAAAAATAATAGATGTGAAGGTTAGAAAAATCTTTGTTGAGAATCTACGATAAACATCATGTTTCATCAACTACTAACCTAGGCATTTACCAAATAAATGTTGGCAATTTTTAGTAAGATCGTCATTTGGGATAAACATATTTATTCAACAATCAAGTATCTTTATCCAATAATCTCAACACTCAAAATTGGTTGTCAGTTCGTCTAGACTCGAGGAACACGAATTAATATATGTTGTATAACATAATAAGTTAATGCAAATAATCAAATGAAATACAGTGATATTGTTCAAATGATAAGACATTTTAAATGCACTTAAAATATGTGTGTATTGGAGACACTCTTTATCAATTATTAATATATAAGTGATAAAATCTTTGAAAATTACACATTCAACAACCATTTTAAGACCAAAATTCTTGATAGTGTGTGTGAGTGCCTTAGATTGAGATTCTAAGCCAACATATAAACAATGACCACCGGTTGAGGTTTTGTATAAACTTCAAGAATTAACAATTGATACATGTTGTATAATATACTAAATTTAAGTGTCTGGATAAAAAAACAAACATCCAAAATGGAAATGAGTCGATATTAGAGAATTTAGTCATCATGAGGGCTACGGTGTGTGTCAAGTTTCAATATGGATGAATATATCCAATAATGAAGTATCTTTACTAAGAATTTCTCACTAAAAAGTCGTAATCTTTACAACATTGGTCGAGAGTTCGTCCAAACTGGAGGATCATGAATGTGTATTGGATTTCCAAAGGACCTAAAATCTCAATCCCTTTTGAGGGCTAAATACCTCTGATCACAACCATAGGTGCTAAAGTAGAATGAAAAAGAAGCAAAAAAAAAAAAAGTAAAAAAGAACATAACCTCCGATACGATGAACATAATAAAACCATATCGAGCTATGATCCTGTCATCCCTACCTTTTTATTCTCCATAAAGGGAACGACGGGAGAGGATAAGAAATAAATAGTAGGATCTTAGTATTTGCCTCTTTATATATTACATATCGAACGATAGACAACCCCAATGGTTGTCTGGCGTTATGGGGGTAAAAGCGAGATCTCTAGATAATTTTGAGTCTAATATATACACACATATATACATGTATATGTAATATCAATGTATACTATATTTTTTATTTAACTCAAGATACGATAGAAGATAGGTATTACGAAGTATGTGCATAAATTAGAGGTTACAGAATTAGGGACTGGAGTTCACCTATTAGAGGTTAGGGTATAGTATCATGCCCCAAAAAACTCCAATTAATTCGAGTCTAAATAGTAAAACTCAATGGTCGTATGGTAGTATGAACGCAAGAGTGTAGCGTACTCCTGGCGCACGCTAGCTGGAACTATATATATGTGTGTGGTTCATGTTGGCGTACGCTAAATATTAGTGTTTTGGTTGACAAATTTTGACATAAGTTCTAAATGGGACGTGACAGCGACATAATTTATGATTAGAAAACCGAAGCATCACAAGTGAGTGTGCTAAATATTGGAAATTTCAATATAGACATACTACAAACTCTGTTACAAAATATTTAGAAGATTTAAAATGATTAACATATAAATTATAAAATAAATCTCTCCGACCAACGGATCAGATAAAAAGCTAGTACAAGATAAACCAACTACCATTGTGCTCTCTAATGCTTTAAGGTTAGTTAGAAAAAGAAGCATGTTGAAGAATATGAAGGGCATTTGAATCTTTCAACTTCTTCCTCCCCAAAATTGGAAATTTTGGTAAAATTTTGACCTCTGCATGATCTAAAAACTTTACTTTGTCTTATCATAAAAAATCTTTCTCGAGCTCTCCATTTTCTTCCCAAACAAAGCATTCACTTCTCCTTCTTTCCTTCTCCTTTCATTTGTAATCAATATTCAATACTTCCAATTGCTTTCAATCTTTCATTTTTAATTGGGAGGCCATCGAAAGGGACCAATCATACCTAAACACAGAACCTTCTGGACACATCTTTTGTGGCTTTGTATTCACTCATTCTCACCAAAATATCTAAGAGGCATCTCTCCATCTCCACCGTCCATTTCCCCTCCCAACCTCAACCATTCTCTCCTTTGCCACAAAAATCACCCTTATTTTGGTTGTGTGTGCTCCACATATTTCTAGATTTTTTTTACCTTTGTTGTGTATCAGCACTAATATACTAAATAAACAAGACTTATGTAAGATTTATTGGATGTATGCATCACAGTCATCTGTATGTATTTTGTTCTCTATTTTCTATTACAAATTTCATCTTCGACAATTTTCGCAACACTTAATTTAGAAGTTTCAAGAAAGGCTAGAGTATATAGTATAGAGTATTATTATAATTATACACGTTTATTTAAAAATAGATCACATGTTACATTTAGCATAATAAGTGTGTTGAATTTAATAGATACAAACTTGCATAGGCACTTGTGTTTTCTATTACAAATTCAGAGTTGTGAGTCTATAGTGAAATCAGAGTTGGTGGACCCATTGTTGAGGTTCAATTAGTAATTGATCTTTCTCGTGGTGGGAAATATTTAAACAAAAGATCATTGCAATGAGGTGCAGAATAACTAATTGAATATTAGAGGAGAGATTATTATATAGCAATGCCACTTGCAACTAGATATAATACCATTATCGGTAAACAAACACAAATCCAAATCAAAACCACAACAAGGCAGAGATAAAGAAAGAAAGAAACTTTATTATGTATAAATGGCCGGTTTCTGGAGAATTCTATTTGGCAGCCACCAGCAACAGCCAGCGCCAGCAGATCTTTTTCCCCTTTCACAATTTCCTCTCCCACCTCCAATTCCTCCAGTCGAAGGACAGTAGGACACAGGAGAAAAGGTGGGAAAGCTAGTGGATTTTAGCTCTCTCTCTCTCTCTCTCTTTCTTGGTCTCGTCCCTTTCTTCTCCCTTCTTTACGCTTCCCTTTTTCACTTCCACGGAAAGCCCAAAAATGCTAACAAGCCAACTTCTCACTCCATTTCTAAAACAAGGTTTTGGGTTTGCTCTGTTTTGTTGAGCGTTCTATTGGGTTCTTGTTTGTTGTAATTTGTCGACAAGAAAAAAGGGGTGAAGGTTTGGACTTCGTTGAGAACGGAAACACCAATGGCGAATCTTGGAGAGAATGGCAGCATAAGTAGTGGCAGGGATTTGTACGGAGTTTTGGGTTTGCGCAAGGAATGCTCTACCTCTGACCTCAGGAATGCTTACAAGAGACTTGCTCTGGTTAGTTTTTTACCCTCCTCTTTCTGATCATGTTGTTGCATGCACGTATAATTTGCCTCTTTGGATTTAAATTTCAGCTTGATTATGAAAAGGGTTGATCAAAGATAGAAACTTTCTGCTGAAAAGTGCCAATCCGGGTGGTGGGTCAACATTGTCTAACGTTTTTGGCCTTCTGTTAATTTGTGGGGGAAACTATTTTAGAGATGGCATCCAGATCGTTGTTCAGCTTCAGGAAACTCGAAGTATGTTGAAGAAGCTAACAGCAAGTTCCAGGCAATTCAGCAGGCATATTCTGGTACTTCCTCTCTTCTTCCTTAAAACCGTCTTAATCAGTAGAAAATTTGTGTTGTATCATGTATGAAAACCAAAATTTTGTTCTCAATACGGCACGCCAAGTTGGCAAGTTGAATTATATTAAAAAAGTTGGAGATTTGGCAATAGAAAGTTTGGGGGACTTCTGGTGGGTTCTTCTTTGTCTGGTTCTGTCTTGTTTTCTCTATCCCCAATTCCCAACGCTTCTATTGTGTTTGTTTGCCGCTTCTTTTGTTTACAAAACAGTTCTGTCTGATGCCAACAAGAGGTTCCTTTACGACGTCGGAGCCTACCATAGTGATGATGATGATGACGAAGATGTAATAATCCCTTTGAGCTCTCATGCTTTGATTCTTGTGTGCTCCTTGTAAACATAAAGGAAGCCTTTTGATTTGCTTGATAATTAAAAAAGATCGATATCAAGCCACTAATTATGGTGTTATTTGCAGGGAATGGGTGATTTCCTGAATGAAATGGCTGACATGATGAGCCAAACTGAACCTACTGTGGTAAGCCTACTCAATCTCAAATCTTTGATTGGCAAAACCCAATATGAGCAGAAAGTTCATGACCTTTGCTTCTACCATAGCACTAGAATATTGACGGGGTTTCTTGGAAATGTCTGGATAATGGCAGGAGACTGGGGAGGAGAGTTTTGAGCAGCTGCAAGATTTATTCAATGAAATGTTCAATGTTGATATTGAGTCATCATTTGGAGCTTCTTCCTCCCTCGATGCTTCCTCGTCTTTATCGTCATCATCAACTTCCTCTGCAGCTTCCTACACGTCCTACTTCCAGAGATCTAACTCCACTCATGGAAGCAGCAGCCCTGAGCTCAAAGTGGGGAACAATGGCATGAAGGATTCACTCAACCAAGCTTCTCACTTTCAGAACTTCTCTCTAGGGGTAAGCTACCACTCTTGTCTTCAGTGTCATGAATTCAACCCCGCTCTATAGAATTGTTGATGAGTGACTGCACGATTTGGTTTGGTGCTCTGGAGTTGGAATTCCTGGTAGCTTAAGTGAGACATGTTTGAAGTGTTGAAGAATGTGACAGAGTGTTAAGAGTCACTAATTTAGATGTGTGTTGCAGAACAAATGGTCACCTCACTGTTCACGTTGTATCCAAATATAGTTCACTGTTCGCATTGTCCTTCATGAATTAGGGTCATTGCCCTCCATGAGTCCCAAGCATCAAGGTATTTGTATCTATGAGCTTGTGCGAGGAAGAGGCCCATAAAACATGTTCAAGTGTGGTCCTCAGTTTGGAGCTTCCCACTGCTTCCGATTTTCATAATACGAAAAACTCGAGTATGATTGGGCATCTTAACTTAATCCATTAACACATATGCGCCATTGTGTTTCCTGTTAATGAAGACAGGTGGAAAACCGGAAGGATTTCAAGAAGGGGGTGGCAGCAAGAGGAGGAAAAATTCTAGGAGGGGTCGACGGTAGAAGGAGCAAGCAAGGTAGGAAACAGAATGTGTCATCGTTTGGCCATATGTCCAGTGACGACTTCATGTCCATGCTTGGTCAAGGATGGTGAGATGCAGCAATTGATCGATTCAGCCTGGCTAGTATGTCTGCTCCAAGTAATGTAGCTGGAAGGCCTAACCTAATATGGACACAAGAAGGCGATGCAGAAGCAAAGCAGCAGCCAGAAAGGAAGGGATTCAGCAAATGGAGGGAAGTGTTTATCTTGTAACAAAAAGATAAAGAGTGTTGCCTGTCTGGCAAATGCTGCTGCAGATCTTGTGTGCCTCTCCACCTTGTCTAAGTTGTAAAAGTGGCTCTTGAAGCCTGCTGATCATTATTGTGTTTCTCTTAGTGTCAAATTAGATATAAAGGAATGATTTAAGAAACAGCGTTTCTGCCAATGCTTATTTGAGCATCTTTTTGCGTTCAAATTGAGGTAGGAATGGATGAACTCAAGTCTAACATAGGTGGATTAGCAATCGGTCAGACAGTACACGAAAAAGTCATTCGAAGAGGTGATTTCTGTTAGAGAGTGGTATAAGATCCAGCAGAACCTTCTCCCAACAATTCGAGTTATTGGGATCAACTAGTTCTTGACATGGTATCAGAGCCTAGAACCAAAAGGTCATGTGTTCGAATCTCCACGACCCCCAATATTAACTGTTGTCTTTCAAGCACATGGTATGGTGGGCCTGTGCAAACTTCAAGCCTGTGGGTTGGCTTTCGTTTGAGGGGGCGTGTTAGAGAGTGGTATAAGATCGAGCGTAACCTTCTCCCAACAACGGATCTGTGACATTCTTTGATAAAATGGACGCTTCAATCACCTTGTGGCGACAAAGACGTGCGTAATTCATGGTTGTTTAGCCAAAATTCGGGAGTGTGATAGAATTGATTAGCGCATTGCTGTGCAATTTGCCAAATTGATTGACTAGTCATATAACTATTCAGCTGAAGGTGGCCTAATAATACTATAGTGCTCACAAGTTGGAGATTACCCAACCAAAAGGGGAAACCCCACTCTTTCATTCCACTTGGCTCAAAAAAGGCAACACAGAAAGCTCTACCAATTCTGGGAAACATGAGGGAGCCCAGTGCACGTGGGAAATGGACCCTAAACCCCCTCCCAAAAGCCAGACTCTAATATGAAAGAAAAAAAGGGCGAAGGAGATATTTAGTAACTCATTGACAAGATCATGGTGTTGTTGTGCCCTGGTTTTTAATTTGACTTATCAGTTAAATCCAATTTAATTCAAGTAATTTGAATAAGTTGGGTTGACATTGTATGAAAGATAATTTGATTATGGAGTTACGTATTTAAGAACTCAAAACTGTCAAAAATATTGATTAAAAATATGGAATATGATACTTCTATGCAAACTTCAAGTCCGTCGGTTGAACTAATTGCTTCCTTAGAAATCCTAATAAGGATGTGAAACATGAATTGTTATCGCTCCTACATGCTAATTGCAAACCACTCTCCTAAGTCCTAACACACTATGCAAATCCTATGAAGAATGGCTTGGTGGAATGGATACTTAATACAATAACAAATAAAATTCATGTTGTCACTAACACCATCTCCAATAGGAAGTGGGAAAGGAGGGAATTTAAGAGAAATATTTTTTTTTTTTGCTGCTTTGGCTCACGAGCCATAGACGAAGGTGGATCATCTGATGATTAGTTTTACATAGTTAGTAATACTTAATTATAACGAATATTTTGATGTATTTTCTTTTATAAATTTAGATATTATTTTTTTACTAACTTTATTATTATTAACAATGAAAGTAGATCATACATCTAAATGAAGTCTCGTTAACTCAACTCTAGCTCGGGTGTACAAGGCTCACTATCACCCGCAATGTAACTTCCTTAATGCTCTGACGGGAACGCGACCTTCTTGGGCGTGCTAGGGTGTCTTAGAAGGCCGTAAACTGTTCCGAAAGGGACTAAGATGGCAAGTGGGGTGTGGTACAGCCATCCAAATTCTTAACGATCCATGGCTACCTACTTCATCATCTCTTTTACCTGGCGTTCAGCTTGGCAATCCATTTGTAGCTTCTTTGATTCATCCCCGGACTCGCTCTTGGAATATGGATCTCCTTCTCTCCTACTTTACCAATGATAGTATTAAGTGGATATTGTCTATTCCCGTTCCCTCCATGCCTCGACTTGATAGATTTATCTGGCATTACTCTGATTCGGGTGAATATACAGTGAAGACGGGTTACCACCTCCTCTTGTATGAACGTTTAGAGCTGTTTTACACCCTTCCTCCGCACTTGGACTCTCATTTCTAGAAACTGCTTTGGAGCTTGCCTGTACCGCCGAAACTCGGATTCTTTTTGTGGCGGGTTGTTAGAGGCCTCCTGCCTTGCCAGGAAGTTCATCAGTTTAAATCCCTCAGTGAATCCAACTTATGTCCTGTATGTTTAGATGTTGTTGAATCCATCTCCCACTGTTTATTTGACTATAGGGTTGCGTGTGGAGTTTGGAGCCTGGCGGGAAAGGATGACATTCGAGTGGTCCTCGCAACTATGTCCCCTGATCTGGCCTGGTCTCATGTTTTCCTTGCGTTGTAGATTAATAAGGTGGAGATGGCAGAGCTCCTATTCATCATCTGGCGGATTTGGAAAGCTCGTTGTTGGTCGTGCTATGATTACATCCAATACTTGCCAGGTCCCCTCCTCTGACAGTATTTACAGCAAAGGGTCGAATGGACTGCAGCAACATCTGCTAGCGTCCGCAGACTCAATCATCCAGGTCGGTCTCCCTTGGAAGACCCTGCGGCGTCCTACCCTCCAGGTGGTTTGCTGATTCGATTTGATGGTGCTACTCGCCGGGAGGTTGGGGACAACATCGGCTTTGTTGGATTCTCGAGTTCAGCTGCCATTGTTTGCGCTTACGGTAAGTTCTATGAAGGGTTATCTGACACAATTTTTTTGGAGTTAATAGCTTTGAGGGATGCGATGGATTGGTATTTAACTAAGGTTTTTTCCTCTGTTTACTTTTGTGGGGACTCCCAATTGATAATTCCGGGAGCGAGGGAGAATGAAGTGCAACATAGTCGTGGCGGTGCAATCTTAGAGGAAGTCTGGCTGATGAAAGCCTCTTTCGCGTTTATTCATTTTGTTTGCTCACCTCGTAGAACTAATAACAGGGCTGCCCATTGCGTGGCGAAAACGTCTCTTGCAACGGTGGATCAACATTTGGCTGATTACCGTTATTTACTTTTCAATTCCTTGTAACTCCTTAACTATTAACTATCTATCTCATTAAAAAAAAGTAGATCATACATCAAAGGTAAATTCAAAGTACTCTTAGCAACATAATTAAATAAATAATTAAAAGCAACATACTAAATAATACGTTAAACTTCAAGGATTTACAAATCGGGTGTGTAGATGTCACTATATGGGTTATAGTTGGATCCTCCCGAAGTTTGGCTTGGATCAACTTGGTAGGCAACTATGATTTGATCTTTTTGCATTTAGTGTCACACTTTTGTACAATGGCTAAATTGAGAAAGATCCTTACTTATGATTTGTTGGTCATGTTTATTCGTTTCCATGGGCGTCTCACGTTCTTCCCCAACGATTCCCAATCTTGCATGTGTTGGCGAAGAAGCCGTCATTTCGCTTATACTACTCTTTGAGAAATCACCATTGAAGAACGCACTCGTCCTCTATTCATCTTCTTTTGTTCTTTCTTTCATATAAGCACTAGGACTATTGATTAACATTTACATATTAGTGCCTAAAAATTTTATGTCTTGCATTTTGATGCCTGAACTTTTTAAAATTTACAAATAGATCCAAGTTTGTGAGGTTTCTGGTCCACTTTAAGAAACTTGTGATATGCTTTATGAGGTTTCTGGTATGCTTTACAATCTGCTTTATGAGATTTTTTGTTTTATTCCGAAAACTTGTGGTATTCTTTATGAGGTCATGGTCTGGTCAGAGAACTTGTGGTCTAGTTTATGAGGTTTTGGATATGCCTCGTGGAACTTGCGATATGTTTTATGAGGTTCCTGGTCTACTTCAAAGAACTTGTGATATGCTTTATGAGGTTTCTGGTATGATTAAGGGAACTTGTGATATGCTTTATGATGTTTCTATGCTTTAGGGAACTTGTGATATGCTTTATGATGTTTCTCTGCTTCATGGAACTTGTGGTCTGCATTATGAGGTTTCTGGTAGGGGTGGACAATGGGCGGGTTGCGTGAGTTTTGGACTCAAATTGACTCATCCGCTTACTAGCAGATTGATATAATTGTGACCCGCTATCCACCCACATTCTTCTACTGGTCGGGTTGGGTGAGTTCCGGATGGGTGCGGTTGGATCGTGGGTTAATCCGCAAAAGCAATTCTCCAACTAGTCATTAAGAAAGTTGCCTAATATTTATAATAATTTCATAGCAAATTAACAAGACTGTATTACTTTCGACACTTTCCACTTTGTCTCATGTGAATCCATGCAATATTTGCATCTAAATTTTCACTACTCCATCAACCAATTGTGCAGAGAAAATGTACACATTTTGCGATGTTGATACAATTAATAGTTTATAGTTTGCATCCCAATATATAATGGATACTAATAATAATTTGCATCCCAAAATGTTTATACTTGCTGAAACTAATAATACCACCATGCTAACAAATTAAGTATTAGCATTCTAGTGACATAAAGTGTGACAAAAATATGTCAAATACAGCATGTTGTATTATTTAGTACAAAATATTACACTCAAATACCACATCCAAAGACTAGCTATAAACTCTGTCCCGATCTATTGCAAAGTGGTTGGCCGGTTCCAATCCATGAAATGACTAACGTGGGGCAGGCAAGGTGATGATCATTCAATTCATTCATCCCACTTTTCAAATTGATGACGATGAAGGCTATCTATACCATGATCATGCCCACGGGTCCCGCTCCCCACGAATATGAGTACACCTTCTAAAATAATGCAACCCACATCGGGAAAAATATCCAACAAAGAGATCCGATGGAAGGTTGCTTGTGTTCAATCAATGGATACATGTTATTCTACCATTAAAATACAACCTTTCCCTCCGCAGAAGGAAGAGAGAACAAAGGAAATGGGGGACATAATTATACAAACTAGCTAGTAAAATCTAGTTTCTCTACCTTAGTTATAATTTGTTGGCACGTGATGTTGTGTTTCCATGTTTTGATAAAAGATATTATTATCCTGATCCTCGTGAATCACGACGAAGCAAAAAAAAAAAAAATACAAATAGAAGAGCAATTAAGAACATTGGTTAACTATACAAATAATGCAACTTGAAGCTTTCTCTTAATAGTCTTCTACTTATAATCATCAAGTTGCTAAGCAAGTGGACGTTGCTAATACCAAATGATCAAGAGATAAAATAATAATTAGCTACCTATAGCTAAGCAACCTATCCTTAATTTTCTACCTCCCTATGTTCCCACTAGGACTGGGCATGCGGGTTGGTGACCTGCAGTTGTGACCTGATCCTCCCGTAAAATGAT